AACTGAAATTACTTTATAAATTTAAGTATACTTAATTCAAAAATGCACTCGACTTAATCTTATAATTGTTCCTACCGGCTCGCCGTACCACACCTAGCCTAGAGGCCACACCATCTAGGTTCCAACAGAGCGACACGCAGCTTTCAGCAACAATTATGACTAGGGACGACTCAACCTCCACTAAGTGTGCGATCACTTAGTTGTTGAATCGCTGCTAGGTAGGTTACTAGTCCGTCCCTCGGAGGCCGCAACGCCCTTCACGGATTACGTTTTTCCTAGCGTTTTGGGTCGTCTAATAACGCCCTCGGACTATCTACTGGCGTCCCACAGATATATCCGCCCCCGACAGCCCTCAAGGAACTGCTGTTGAGAGTATGGCGGCTCCCAACACCTCTGAATGAATTGCAATGGGTCGAGTATGGCACCCAGTCCAATCAACTCGGAGCGGTCTCCTTTTCAATAAATCTATTTTAACAGCCTAATCTTACTAACTAAACCTTAATCATATCAGCCCGCATGACCCAAGATTCGCCAATCCCCACTCAAACGCACTGTTGTGGGGCGCACTGCTAATCCTGGCCCGCGGCTGTCTCCTTAGCATCCGCGCACGTGTTCGAACGGCTAGACGCGTGAGCCTTTCAACAATTTCAAACAAAATTGTTGAAACCACCGCTGTGCACCATTGTAACACAGGTTAGGTTCCTCTCTCTTTACTTCTCTACCTTCTTTGCCCTCTACCCGTATTCTTACTTTTTATTCTCTACCAAGGGACTCCAAAACTTTTACCAAAGCCAACTCCACGCCACGTGGTCCTAAGACGATTGACCGACTTAGGATTCTACACCCAGTATGACGTGACCTAGGCCTTGAGCAAAACCCTAGAGTCGCCTCTACGCTGCCACCACCAGACCAGTAACACAAGAGCAATGATCGAGGTCTGGATCGATCACGCTAATTAATCAACCTTGGGGCTTGATCCCCACTATAAACGATGACCTTGAGTGTGGAATAAATTACACGGTAATGATAATTCCGATTCGATGTTAGAATCGGCGCCCAATACAACTCTGCCTCGTGTGGACCACGTGACCAGGACAAGTATACACATAACCAAATGGAAACAATAAAAATGCAAATTATTAACTTAATTTATTAAAAGAAAACTAAAACAAAATCTAAATATGTTCACTCCCTATCACTTTAACACTCCCTACTTGACCTGAATGGCAAATGAGAAGACTATCCCTATAATTAACAATAGCAACTATACCTTGGGCGACCAGCTCTAGGTGTTGGGCTGGTCTTGGGGAGAGGTAAGATGTTTGACCTCTCCCAGCTGCTCCCGTATTCACACTGACTTGTCCTCGTCTGGCCTAGCCCAGACTAGAACATTGTATCCTTCCGCCTAGTCAAAGTTTTACCAAGTTACTAGCCAGGTTTAAGTTATAACAATTAACCTCTGTTGTACTTAATTGATCCAGACTGGTTGAATTATTTTACTGAATTAAATTACAAACATCTAACGGCAGAGCTGTTCCCGATCACAAAAATGGTTATTAAAACTTTGAGAAATAGTAGACCTGTCAACCCCTGATGACCTATGACCGCCGGTCACTCCGCTTTACAAGTTAGATCTGATTCGTGACGTCACGGATGGTGACTTAAACTCAATAATTAGAATACTCTTGATATTGTATCCAGTACTATTATACAATACAATTTTAATACAAAATGAATAAAGGCTAATTTTCTCTAAATTACTGAATACTATAGGATGGTTCATTATACGCAGCTATGAACAAAGCGTCGGTTATTTCCACCGCGAATTCCCCTGGGGGTCAGGTCACCATGTGGGCTCAGCTTCCCATTCTCTTTTGTCGATAAACCACTCTGGATAATTCTTACAACAGCCTAGTTTGTTACAGGTTGAACCTTTCCACTCAGTTTCTTGGGACCCATAGCATGATATATAATAATTGCAATACTTTTATGTTCAAAAACCAAAAAGCAGAAAAACAATTAAATTCTTTACAAAGAATTCAAGCATCACTAAGCGGGAGGCACTGGTACGTAAACTGAAGCGCGGTCGCCCGTGCCACCAGGAACCACGCGCTCAGTCAACCAGTATATGTATCAACAAAGTCGCAAGACAAGGCAAATTTCGTAACCCAATTCGAATTTTCCAAAGAAATTGAGTTTGTAACCCGAAAAATTCGTGAAGAGAGACGTTCGTTACCCGAGGTTCCACTGTACCTGTACCTCTTTCATCGCAGTGACAGTATCAAGTTCCTTAGCACTCCTTTTGCCTCTTAGTCTCTTATTTATCATGTTTCTTCTTTGTCTCTTCTGATGGTTTTGTTGTCTTTTTGTTTTCATTGGGTGTTAATCAACATCTTATGCTGTATACAGTTACCTCTTCTTGTTTGGCCTTGGCAGTGCCACTCTTGTTGGCATCTGGCATCGATGCTTCCCCCGAGTGCCTGTCTTCACCAGTTGTCTCGTGCTTTCTTTCACTTCCAGCTGGCTTGTGATCCTCTTGAGGTGTCTTGGTCGCTTAATAGGGGGGCTGGCATTTTTATCCTACCTCAATTTGTGGTGGCTGCTTTAGTCCAGGACATGTTTCTTACGGCTCTGTTTTGGTCGGCTCTCATCTCCCGTTGTCAGGTTGGGGGAGCTCTCCTCTGGCGTGGGCTCATTCCTTTGGCATTGTTGGGCAGTTTCTTTGTTTGCAGCCCTCTCCTTCTCTGGTGAGGAATGGGATGCTGTTCTTTGGTTGTCCTTTTCTGGTGAGGAATGGGAGGGGGATCCTTTGGTTGTTGATGCTTGGTTTGTCAGCCTGAGGTGCATCATTTGTTGTGTCTGGTAGTGGCAGTTCATCGCTATCTGTGCACTACCCACTCTGCCTTGGTGGATGTGCTCTTTGTTGACCCAGTTTCTTTGGGTTTCCTGTTCAAAGGCTAATTTATCACAGGTTGTCCTCAGCATCCTTAAGTCTGGTCAGCCTGCAGAGTACCCTCGGGCCCATATTGTTCACAAGTTCACTGTGTTTTCTAATTGTGTCTTAGGCTCTGGAGTTTTGGAGGTCAAGCAGGGCCTTGGCAGTCGCAGTCAGCCTTGTGTTGCCATGGGGCAGGTTTTCTGCCCCACCGACTCGTTATCTTGATTCATTTTTGCTCTCTGCTTCCACTGGTGTGTCCTATGATTTTCTTCTCCATTGTTAGCTTCAAACAACAACAACAAAAAATGTGTTGAATGTAATGAAAGACTCATTCTGATAGGGCCTCAGTGGGTTCTTGATTTCCTTCCACTGTTGCCTACCAGGGGTGTCGGTGCATAGTTTAAGTTTACCAGTTTAAGATAAAAACTAAACACTACCTAATAAATTCCCTGTAACCTACCTCACTCCTCTATTGTCAACCCATGTCTGTTATTTTTTTTTTTTTTTTTTTTTAATCAACACTGTCAACCTATTGTATTTGTGCTGCTTTTTCAGTCATGTTCCCCCTTTTTTTTTTTTTATCTTTATTTGTATTTGTTCTCAACACTTTATTCTTTATGCTCAATTAGTATTAAGTTCTAGATATTAATGTTTTTCTTGCCCGAAACGCATTGCGTAATAGTGGCTTTAGGCATTGTATGTACTAGCTCTATCTATATATCAATCCATTAATGTAACATCACTTGTATGTATGTACCTTACCTGAATAAACATATTTATTTATTTATTTATTTATTTAGTAACTTGGCTCCGGAATGAGGCAATGACGGTTTGGAGCCCAGAGCTCAAACCGTCGGGTTGGTGCTGTCGTCCATTGGTAACAGTCTTAACTAAGGGGTTCAAGCTAGTTTCTGAGTGAATCATTTGCAGAATCATTTGGCTGTTTCAGTGATTCCTTTTCCTTGAACCTTGCAGTTGTCCACTTTGCTTTGCTAACTTTCTAGCAGTTTTCTCAGTGTGGTTGATGGTAGAAATCCCCTGCTCCCTGTACATCTGTTAAGGGGGGGGGGGCAGGCTCTGGCTCTTGGTCCCCCAGTAGGTCATACAGGACTTCTAAGAATGATGTGACTTTGTAACGGGAGCCATCTTGGCCAGACAACTTGAAGGAGCCACCGGGGTTCTAACAGAAAAAAAGCATTTTATTACATTCAATGTGGGGTTTTCCATAGTGAAGGGGAAATCAATGTATCATGATTGATACCTATAGATTGAAATCTGAAGTATACCTATATACAGTACTTCAGATTCTTGCATATATATATATATATATATATATATATATATATATATATATATATATATATATATATATATATATATATATATATATATATATATATATATATATATATATATATATATATATATATGCCAAATATATTCTCTTGTTTTATGTTCTACAAGATTTTATATATTTAATTATTATTTTTGTAATTTATGTTTGTCACTGTCAAAGATTTACCTCTTTTTGCCTTTTTGTATTGTGATATCTCTATTAATATTTGAAATTATTCCTCCTGGCTAGTCCAACCACTTGGACTGAATGGTAGAGCGACGGTCTTAGTTCTGGCAGGTCAGCGTTCAGTCTTTGATCGTCCAAGTGGATGGAGGCTATTCCCTTCTTACATCCTGTCTTAAATCCTTATCCTCATATCCCTTCCAAGTGTTATACAGTATAGTCATAATGGCTTAGTGCTTTTGCCTGATAATTTCTTCACTTCCTCCTGGCTAGTATGAAATTGGTAATTATGATGACCACACACCAGAAGATGGAGATGATGACGTTTCGGTCTCTCCTGGACCATTATCAAGTCGATTGTCACAATCGACTTGATAGTGGTCCAGGACGGCCCAAGGATGTCGTCGTCTCGTCATCATCTGGTGTGTGGTTTGGTGATCATATCTCTAGCCACGTTATTGTGACTCGTCGTCTGCAAATTTGTAATTAATTTTCCATTTTCTACTACAGTATAATGATTGTGGTTTGCATATTTTATTTTAGACTGGTGGTGTCAGACAGTGCCAGTTTTATACGGATACACACGGAGACTCTCCTGGTGAGTCTACCCACTCCAGACTTCTCCATGCCATACAACGTCATTTGTCTCGCGTGTACAGTGGTGGCTCTGGCGTTTGGACCAATTCATAACATTACCACTAAAAAGTAAGTACAGCAGTGTACAGTGTTGGCAAATATGACTATGTGACATGTGTTTGTGTGTATACTCGCCTAAATGTACTTTCAGGGTTGACCATTACCTACTGAGCCCGGCCTCATCAGCTGTTGGTCCTCCTGACCCTCTTGTTTCTTGTATCTACTTTTCAAACGTATTATATAATTGTATTAGCTTCTACACACTCTTTGTTTAACCCATTACACTTGCTCACAATCCTTATGGTCAATAAAGTCTTTCTAACATCATTGTTACTCATTTATGCTTCAAGTTGCTGTCTATGTTCCTTTGTTTTTATCTTGCCTCATACTGTGTGTGTCCTCTGTCAGCATTGTCCAATTTCCCCAGAGAATCTTAAATGTATCAACCCGTCCTCCTGTTTAGATAGTACCTATTGTGACAGTCGTCAGTACTCACGAGTTCATACGTACTTAGCTTCTAGATAGTAGTATGCTGACCAGTAAGGAATTCTTTTAAAATAAATGAAGCTAAGACACAAAATTAAATATTCCTAGGCCTAGTATAGCACACATGTACTATATTAGGCCTCAGATATCGTGTATTAGGCCTAGGGAGGTTAGGTTTTGGTTGGTTTAGTTTGTCGAAGTAACACAAGTAAAAAATAGTTTTCCGATTTGTCCAACTCAATAGTTCAGATTTCTACTTTCTAATTTTGTTGTACGTCGGTATATATATATATATATTGTGGTCCTCATCGTTACTATAAGTTGTACCAAAAGAGGAGGATGGACTGGATATATTGCTATTATGTCTTCTCGATACACTCTCCCTTCAAGTACTGTAACCCCGCGATTATCCGGGATTCAAACATCCGGAAAACGCCCTTATACGGCCAAAATCGTGATCGGATAAAGTTATCACAATATCCGGCCAAAATGGCCACAGGAACCGGATAAAAGCTGGTTTGGCCGGATGAATATTCGGCCATACCGTATTAATCCCGTCTGTGGCTCTAGACGCATGGTGGAGGAGGGGGTGGGGTGGGTGGGTGGTTTTGGGAGGGTGGGAGGGGTGCGTCGGAAGGGACCACCTGGGTACAGGAATTACCATTAATTTTAGAACACTTAATCATAGCCAAAAATAACTGAAATAAGTACTAGTAATTATATAATAACAAATAAATAAGTTTCCTAAAAGTAATGTGCACAGGCTGAAGTTTCCTTCAAAAATATTGTGAGTTTATTTTCCTCCTGGCGGCCTACGTAACGTGCTATAGCTGCCCCACCCCAAGTGGACCTGTCCAACACTGGTCAACCCATGTGCGTCCGTCCCTCGTGTTATACACAGTGCTGCGCCATTAGTGAAATATTTTTTTAAATAACTTTTTTATTTTCATAGTAACTTTGAACATTTTTGGCCAAGATTATGTCTGGTAGCAGCATCAATCATTCTGGAGGTGTTAAGAGGAAGAAAGTTGTCCTAACAATTAAAGACAAGTTACTGTTATACACCTCAACCAGTGCGGCGTCACAGTGCTGCTCCATTAGTGAAATATTTTTTTAAATAACTTTTTTATTTTATAGTAACTTTGAACATTTTTGGCCAAGAATATGTCTGGTAGCAGCATCAATCGTTCTGGAGGTGTTAAGAGGAAGAAGATTGTCCTAGCAATTAAAGACAAGTTATGTGTTGTTCAACCAGTGAGGCGTCACAGGCAGCCAAATGCCTTCAACAAGTGAGACTTCACAGGCAAGCCAAGCGCCTTCAACAAGTGAGGCGCAAGCAAGCGCCTTTAACAAGTGAGGCATCACAGGCAAGCCAAGCGCCTTCAACAAGTGAGGGCATGCAAGCGTTTCAACACGTGAGGTGCATGGAAGCGCCTTCAACAAGCAAGGCCTCACAGGCAACCCAAATGCCTTCAACCAATGAGGCTTGAGCAGCTGGCAGTCAAAACTAACTTTGCTTAATGAACTGTACCGTAATTTTAAGTGTTAATTTTAGTGTTGTGTTAGCATAGGTTACGTAAATTGTTAAGAATTCTTAACTTCAAGATGTGTGGCATCAATCAAGAAGACGAACACCATCAAGGTAAGTTGAGTTTTCTAGTTGAATATTTAATAATTATATGTGGCAAGGCAATTCAAATTATGTTGTTTTGTGGTATAAAAGTAGTTGGAAATTGTCACTTTTGGACTCGTAGGTGAAAAAGTACCATTATCCGAAAAATGTGATAATCCGGCTGGGGGTCCTTCCCATATAGTCCGGATGATCGAGTGGAGACAGTATGGTGAGGTTCAGTTCCCTTCAGCTCTCCTTGCAGCTCAATAATCGCTGTTCATATAAGATCCTCCTCATGTACCTCTGGACTTTTTTCTAGCTTGGTTTTATGCATCTTTAAATGAAGGTGGCATGCTCAGGTGGCCTACACCAGAAAGGGTCTCACATACATCCATACATCATGTACAATGTTATGAAGAACTCCTTCCCTAGGTTTCTTAATGTTGCTCTTATATTTGCCAGGTTTGCATGTACTCATGATGATATCCTATTTATGAAAGCCTCGGATGCTAGTCTATGGGGGTTGCATTTCAGGAAGTTGTTTCCTTTCGTATTCTTGACTGTTCAGTCGGTGTTCATGCTCCATCTCTCATTCTCATTACCTTGGATTTCTCTGCATTGTATCCATTTGTATCCCAGAACCCCATCAACCAGGTATCATTTCACCCAGCAGCATTGCCATGTTATCAAGCAGGTATTGTGATGTGGTCAGAGTAAATGTAAAAAAAAAAAGATAGTTGTACATTTGTTATGCAAGTACAGTTTAGTTGTAGCCGTTTGTGTGAAAAGTGTCAGATATCTCTCGACGGAGAAATAATTTGAATTTGGGTTTTGATGATGCATATACTCTTTAATTCTTTCTAATTTTAGGTTGGTATTAAAGAAAATAGAAAATAAAGAATCATCCTTCAGTCGTGTAATAAACAGAATCAAAAGCATATTTAGAAGACGGGAGAAGACCAAAATTGATGCTGCGGGTAAAGAGGCTACAAACGAATCCGTTATTGTGGAGGAAAATCCGCTCTATGAAGAGAGAGAGGAGCTGGAGGACATCACCGAAGAGGAGGAGGATGACGAGAAATCCAGCAGCAGGTCGGGAAGCGGCCATGAAAATAAGAAAGATAGATAGAGAGAGATGTTAAGTATAATAATTGTGGTATTAATGTACAACAGACTATGTAACATTACAGGTTGATCTCTTGCACATACCTCAAGTTCTTATAAAAGTCATTAAATGGTTATCAAGTCATAAAGAAATCAAGTTGATTTGAGTGTTTGACTGGTAAATTTAATTATTATAATTATGGGTTGATTGGCACTATCTACTGTAGCAGTGTTAATGATATTTAACATTAAGTTGATTCTTAATGTATTAAAAGTTGTATCTGAGTCTGACAGGGTTTTATGGACAGAATATAGCAAGACGTGGCGGAACATGTGGAATAAATGGGGTGAAGTGGAGGTACCATAAGCACGATTCAACTCTTAAGGTGTGCTTGGTACACTTGTCTCTATATACTAGTCACAAAGCGTGCGATGTGTCAATACGCTTGAAACGTGACCTGCATGTCCTTGAGCAGACCAGCAGGATGTGGCTTAGTGTTTCACGACCGTGACAAACACCGCTTGTTCCTGAAGCAGGAACCACCCTCTTGGGTGCTTGTGACAATTGAGAAATAAGAAATGCAGGTGAAACCATTATTGGTTTAGAATTTATACTAATGTATAACTCAAATTTCAGATTGACGGTTTGTCTTTTGATGGACTGTGAAAATGATTGTACACCTGTCGAGTCTATTTTGGTAGTTTTGATAAGTTAATCTATTAAAATATTGTGGAGAATTCAAGTAATAATTCAAGAGTTTCAGTTTGGTTATGAAGATACTGAGAAAGTCCCTTCCTGCCATCTTAGTTTGGATAACTCGATATTGTAAATTGAAAGTGAATGTCGGTAACATTTTCCGTTACACGAAGACAGTTGGCCTGCTGTGCTTTAAACATCAAAGCTAAGATAATGTTTCTTGTACAGTCCAGCTTAATTCTTTGTTTGTCTCTGAAACAATTTTGTGCATACAGTATAATTATCTTTGAGTTTTTGCACTTAAGACTTATCCCTAAATCTGAATAATCCAAATTTTAGAGGTAGAAAGTCAGGTTTGCTACTTGAAACCATGTAACAAGTATATACACATATACTTATGTGTATATTTATGCTATACACATAAAAACCCTGCTTTTCCTGTGATCAAAGCAAATTGCCCATTGTATGAATTGTTACCAGATTTTAAAATGGAAATTTTTTTATAACCTAAACTGTAATCAGTTTAAGGCCCAGGCTGTTTCCTGGTGTAATATCTCGTTGAAGCACATTTTAACACTTTGCCTGGCCCGGCGGGCCACCGCAAGGTAGGCCAGGCATTGTCTGTGAGCGCACAACCCAATGTTAAACTCTTTCACTCAGTGTTTATACAGTACTAATGAGAATAAGCAAAAATTTATTGCTAGCGGGACATAAACATCATGTCCCGAATTATGTGTTTATTGTTTTAATGAAACAATATGTAAACGTGAACGTTATCATGATGCCAAAGTGTTAAGTCTGCTGATGCTGTTCATTCGTGTCGTACCATTTGACGCAAATCATACCTCTGCTCGGTAAAGACTGCTTCCAGAGCCTTTGCGTCTGGCTTCTGTACCATACTCTCCTGTCAATAATGTGATCATTTAGGTTGTAGCTTGTAATACAAAACACTACAGCCTTTGTCAATCACATTTTGAAGGAACTTGTGAGGGGGTTCTGTAGCACAGTGGTCTACATCCTCGGCTCGCATCAAGGGAGTCGGGTTCAATCCCTAGTCAGGACAGAAATAATTGGGGATGTTTCCTTTCACCTGATGCTTCAGTAAGCATTAGGTGAAATAGGTAAATACGTACCTATTTACCTAGCAGTAAATAGGTACCCAGGAGATATGCAACAGTTGCATCCTGGGGAAGGTCAGAAATTGTCCTAGGGGGGGGGACCTCGATAAGCATAACTACGGGCTTCCTGTCCCCAACAACAGGAACTTTTCTACAGGACTTTTCCATGTGTTTTGCACATTGGTCAGTAATGTGATGCAAATACTGGAACGTGAGTGGCCGAGATGTTTTACGCAGCTTCATTCCACTGTGCACATTACGATCCAAGTCTCATTATGTTTCTCATGTTCTATATATTAAGATTGTAAGGTATTCCTCGAGACATTCCAGGGAGCACTTCCCAAGTATATAAGGTGCTCACAATAATGTATATTTACCAGAATTTACCTGAGGGCCTCAGTTTCGAGTGGCCTTGATGGGGGCAGGAAGCCAATGGCTTGTCAAAGGTCCCCCAATTTTTCCAGCTGTATGAAAACTGAAGTACTGTCCTGTATGTTCAGTTCAATTAATAGTAATGGCAAAAATGTATCGTATATTTTGTTTTAATATTTTACACAGTATGGTTTAAGAATTTCCTGCCCTCCCCAAAAAAATTTGATGTGATTTAATAAATACATGCTCCTAGGAACATTTTTAATAAGCCTACATAATTATATATTGATACTTAATTGAAATGTTTATTAAGTATTCGTCGTACGGATAACTTGCGGTTGTCTCCTTGCTGCTTCAAACCCTGATTATTCATCTACCAATTTAAACCCCTGGTAGATGTGGTTTATATCTACCAGAAGTTTCAAGGTTTACATCTGGTAGACATAAACCATGAAACTGTGGCAAGAGCGGCCACCAGAGTCCTGTTCCCCCAGATGATGATGGTCGGTGGAGCTCTGGTCCAACTCCTGGTTCGTCACGTGGCAGTATCAGACTGTCACGTCTGATACTGTGTGAACACGGTAGTCCAGTGAACATGCTAGTCAGGTGAACACAGGTAAGCCAGGTGAACGCAGGTCACCCTCGGGTGAGAACGGGTAAATACAGGACCTGTATTATGTGCGAAGTTATCATTTGTGACACCCATAGGATAGTAACATCAAAACACTCCAAAACTGAGTTTTATTTCCATCTAAATTTTTAAATTTAATAATATACATTCATAAACAGATCAAGATTCTTAAGAACTAAACACCAGTGTCATAAGAATTTATTAAAATATAGAACGTGATAATGTTTCACTGACCAGATAGCGACTTTATGCAATTTGTTGGAGGCAGCATCTTGTTGTCAATTGTTGGGAGCAGAATGTTCGATAAGGTTCATCAAGTTCCCATCCTCCCCTAAGGCTTGGCCAACTACTGACCTTCCCGTCCCCCATGTAACCCACAGCAATTCCCGAATTCCCAAGTTACGGGACTCGATACCCTGCTCCCTCCAACAATTACATATCTAGCTATCCCCATGTACCAGTTACAATATATGTATTTACAAAATCAAACTTTCTTAACAGTTAACACTAACCAAAGTTTGAAGTTGAAAGTATGAAAAATATCTTGGTTTTATAAATCTATTTGAATGTACAATATTACACTGTAGAAACTGCTCCTAATATGTAGGCGCATCGTGGCATTGTACGCACTTCTTGCAATATGCAGGTGCATTGTACGTATTGCTTGCAATACGCAGGCACATCATGGCATATGCGCTTCTCAGAATTTGAAGACATTTATAAGGCAATTATGTGGTATTTTATTTCCCTTGAAACATCCCTGCAAAGTTAAATTTAATATATGTGTGTTCCTTCAGCAGGATGCTCCAGTAGTGGAACAGCAAAATAATATTTTGTTTACAATTTGCAAGAAATAACACTATCTACAGTTACATGGCATATGGAATACATTAAAATAATGATATTGTATACACAATAAAATCCACAAGAAGTTGATGCATCTATAAGAAAATATAGAGTCTATACAATGGGATCAAACCCACAGCCGCCCTCGACTCCACAGGTGCACGCGGTACCGATCGGAATGTGATGGGCCTAACTACTACCTTCCAAACTTCAAACAAGTCTGATAGTACTCTCGGGTAAACTATTTTATGAGCTCATCATGGTTTAGTCGGTAGTACATGTGCCTTTGAAGGCTAGGGACATGAATTCAATCTTATTGTTCAGCTTCAATATTTACTCATAGTACGTATATTTTTATCATAGATAAGGAACATTTTCATGTCATTTAATAGTGAACATTATCTATGAAAATAAACAATACTGTATTGAATATCATTCAAAAAATAATTTTCTCATGAAAATCTACTCAATATTGGGTACACAAGTTTAGGCCAAGGAAATAGGCTATAATGAGCACTGAAAATAATATGACATTGCTTATCATATACAGTATGGACGTGTTCAATATATTGGAGTTAAAATTTATTCAGTAAATGTTCTCGATACAAGGTTCAACACACTAGTGTCAACAAGAGCTATAGAGATGCAATTTGCATATATATATATATATATATATATATATATATATATATATATATATATATATATATATATATATATATATATATATATATATATATATATATATATATATATATATATATATATATATATATATATATATATATATATATACTGTATATATATATATATAATATAAAAACACTAATGGCTGAATATATCTACTACTTTACCCACTGTGTAACCATTTTAACATGTCCAATGTCTATCGTATGAATACAATTATTATTAAAGTCTGGGTTACTAAAACTTACTACGCCCCATGATGGGTATACCCTTATACTTGCTAAACGTCTACTTCTCAATTGTATGACCCCTAGTTTAAACATCTATTTCTCACTAGTACGACCTCTAGTTTAAACGTCTAATTCTCACTAGTACAACCTCTAGGTTAAATGCAAATTCAGTATGAATTACAGCAGCAGAATCTCTTCTTATTGATGTGCAAGGTTTTTTTTGCATTAATAATTCAAACAAAATACTGCCAGGCAAAATTAGCTGTGGTGAAAGTAATATTTTTACTCATTATATTCAATATAAAAATTCCTGACCAAAGCACATTATGAATCTTTAAAAAAAATACAAAGGGCTATTAAATTGATCAAAGATATTCAAGAAAAGAAATCACTAGAAACTGGTGCTGCATTATATATATTAGCCATATGTAGACAAAGCCAATTATCTTACGAAGAATAGAAATATGAAAGTGGCAGCCGTAAAATTGTCCACTACGTCTGATCATACACCTGTACCTCCGCTACGTCAGATCATACACCTTTACCCTTCTCAAACATAACGCCACTGATATCTTTGGAAAAAAATGATATCTAAACCAGAGGCAACATGTCAGTATATAAAAAAAAAAAAGATTTATGTTGCCTAAAAAAATTAGGCAACATTTTAAGGCCTATGTGTACATTGTACTGATGTATTGCTTTTGTGTGTGTGACATATACGACGGAATGAAGACCAGAGGTCAGTTTAGATGCCCCCCCCCCAGGCAAATCTGGGCACATTTTATTCCATTCACCTGGGCTGTAGGAGACTTGAACCCTGGACTCCGCACGTGTGAGGCCAAAGCTCCATCGACCGAGTTATTGAGTGGTCTCCTCGAGCCCGGGTGATTGGAATGTTTATTTCCTAGGAAGTGTGGATGACAATGTTATGATATTCATGTATGAATGAATCAACTTTGAAAATGTTGGTTTGATGCTGATTAAGTGTTAATCCAATAGTGATTAAATGTCAATGCAACATTAAAGAATGAGCTAACATTGGTTAAATTTTAATTAAATGTTGATTTAAAGTGAATGTAATGCTAACTAAACATTGATCAAAAGTTGACTAAATGTTGATCCAACGTTGATTAAACGCTGATCCAGCAAGTACTCGAGCCCGTTTTTCTCCTGGGTGTTGGATGATTATATCTGTTAAGAGGTTACACACATACCTGTCAAGAAATATATATGATTGCTCTGGTTTTATAATGTGTATTAAACCTCCCCAACAGACAAAATATGTTTGGGTAATGTTGAATCAACATGTGATCGACGTTTTCAATTAATTTCAGGTCAACAATAGATCAATGTTTAATCAACATGTGCTCAATGTGGAGTCGACATTGGATCAACAGTTGATCAGTGTTGTTGTATCGCCATTCATTGTATCAACATTCATTCAATGTTACAGTAATATCATTAACCTAGATTTGTCTAGGTCAGGGTTCTGAGAGGAAGAGAAAGTGAATGCATTTGCCTCAAGAACCACCAAGTGCATTGCTACCATAATTGAAACGATTCTTCGCGGCAGGGGATCGTATTCCAGGGACCCTTAGGATTAAGGACTTGCCCGAAACGCTACGCGTACTAGTGACTCTACAAGAATGTAACAACTCTTGTATATATCTCAAAAAAAAAAAAAAAAAAAAAAAAAAAAAAAAAAAAAAAAAAAAAAAAAAAAAAAAAAAAAAAAAAAATAATCTCACAACCAAGAGTTGTGTCATTCATTAAAATTATCATTTATAAAATAATCAGCCCATCCTTCTAAAAAAAAAAAAAAAAGTACAGTATCTATAGCAACTATTTCTTCAAATGGACTGTTGGACTCCTCCCCAAAATTAATATTTTGTATTATTTGAATTAATCTAAAAATATCAAAATATATATACAACAAAATTTACCTGAATTTGCCTGAGTGCCACTAGTGGCCTTGACAAGAACAGGAAGCTAGCTGCTTTGTTAAGGAAAATGGGTAGTTATTCAACTGTGTGCACCCACATTAGAACTACTGTACCGCCACACACAAGACTTGACGTGGACAGAGCCTGCACAGAGACTCATTTTCAGAAGAACTATCTGCATTGGAGAAAATTCAGCATTGGGCCCAGTGTTGTTAGCCACAGGGCTAACAACACTGCAAACCAGGCATGACAGGACTGATCTCATTGAAACTTTTCAAAATATTAAACAATTTGGAGGATATTAAAGATCAGATATACCACTTTTAAAGAACAATGGCTTCAAGCTTAACAAGCCACAAAGGACAGAAAACCAGGAGATCTTTTTCACCCACAAGGTTATAAATCCATGGACCTGCCTACACCCAAAACCATAAATGCTGAAACAATGATGTAACTCAAGATCAAAGCTTTAAAATCAAGGGCCTTTAAAATCAAACCCAACCACTGGGTCGATGGTAGAGTGATGGTCTCACAGTCTACAGGTCGGGATTCAATCCCCGACCATCCTAGTGGTAGGGCACCATTTCTTTTACTGTCCCATCGCAAATCCTTATCCCTTCCCAGTGCTAGTCAAAATGGCTTGGCACTTTTCCCTGATAGTTCCATTTCAATCCTTAAAGTCAAAGATTTGTTTGACTATTCCTATAATTTTTTTTTACTGCAACTTTCAATTGCCACTTTCAGCCACTGACGGATTCTCACCTCAAAATCCCTTACTTCGTCAATCTGCTGCTAGGTAATATTTTACATTTTTGTAGCTTTTTTGTGCACTTTTGCCCCACATGCAAGGACTTGCATTTTTCGATACTACGGTACATGGACCCTTGCGGTGCCCCGCTCACCACACTTGTCCCCGTGAGATTTATATCCGTTTGGCACGACCCTTTTGGCTTGCTTAATTTGAACCATTCTTTTATCCATTCCAGTATTGTACAATTTATTCCATGTCTGTAATTCCCTTGTCTAACCTGTCGAGCAATACAAGACCAAATATACAATTTTTTTGGCTATTATAGTACATATATTTTGTATACTAGTGCTAGGAATCTTCATTTGGTTTAGGGCTTATATGTTGTGCCCTCTACAAAATTAATAGTATAAAACAGAAACACTGTTGTAATGGTCTCTCGGAGGCTGGGCCACAGGCCCGTTGATCCCTGGAAACCCCCAAAAGGTTCCATGTCTTGTGGAGGCATAAATTGACCATGTAAATTTATCATGCATGGTAAATTTTGTTTGATGAAATAGTTGCTATAAGAATCATTATTTTGGCAGGATGGATTGTTTATAATATATGAACTGCAAACAAGTGATCATCTTTCCTAGAAGCTGTGTATGTAAGAAAGCTTCTAGGTACTGGAGCATGTAGCAATGCTCCCAGAAGCTGGAGTATGTAGCAATGCTCCCAGAAGCTGGAGTATATAGCTATGCTCCCAGAAGCTGGAGTATATAGCAATGCTCCCAGAAGCTGGAGTATATAGCTATGCTCCCAGAAGCTGGAGTATATAGCTATGCTCCTAGAAGCTGGAGAACATAGCAGTGCTCCTAGAAGCTGGAGAACATAGCAATGCTCCTAGAAGCTGGAGAACATAGCAATGCTCCTAGAAGCTGGAGAACATAGCAGTGCTCCTAGAAGCTGGAGAACATAGCAGTGCTCCTAGAAGCTGGAGAACATAGCAGTGCTCCTAGAAGCTGGAGAACATAGCAGTGGTCCTAGAAGCTGGAGAACATAGCAATGCTCCTAGAAGCTGGAGAACATAGCAATGCTCCTAGAAGCTGGAGAACATAGCAGTGCTCCTAGAAGCTGGAGAACATAGCAGTGCTCCTAGAAGCTGGAGAACATAGCTATGCTCCTAGAAGCTGGAGAACATAGTAATGCTCCTAGAAGCTGGAGAACATAGTAATGCTCCTAGAAGCTGGAGAACATAGTAATGCTCCTAGAAGCTGGAGAACATAGTAATGCTCCTAGAAGCTGGAGAACATAGTAATGCTTCTAGAAGCTGGAGAACATAGCAATGCTCCTAGAAGCTGGAGAACATAGCAATGCTCCTAGAAGCTGGAGAACATAGCAATGCTCCTAGAAGCTGGAGAACATAGTAATGCTCCCAGAAGCTGGAGAACATAGCAATGCTCCTAGAAGCTGGAGAACATAGCAATGCTCCTAGAAGCTGGAGAACATAGTAATGCTCCCAGAAGCTGGAGTATATAGCTATGCTCCCAGAAGCTGTGTATGTAAGGAAGCTTCTAGGTACTGGAGTATGTAGCAATGCTCCCAGAAGCTGGAGAACATAGCAATGCTCCTAGAAGCTGGAGAACATAGTAATGCTCCTAGAAGCTGGAGAACATAGTAATGCTCCTAGAAGCTGGAGAACATAGCAGTGGTCCTAGAAGCTGGAGAACATAGTAATGCTCCTAGAAGCTGGAGAACATAGTAATGCTCCTAGAAGCTGGAGAACATAGCAGTGGTCCTAGAAGCTGGAGAACATAGTAATGCTCCTAGAAGCTGGAGAACATAGCAGTGGTCCTAGAAGCTGGAGAACATAGTAATGCTCCTAGAAGCTGGAGAACATAGCAATGCTCCTAGAAGCTGGAGAAGATAGCAGTGGTCCTAGAAGCTGGAGAACATAGCAGTGGTCCTAGAAGCTGGAGAACATAGCAATGCTCCTAGAAGCTGGAGAACATAGCAATGCTCCTAGAAGCTGGAGAACATAGCAGTGGTCCTAGAAGCTGGAGAACATAGCAGTGGTCCTAGAGGCTGGAGAACATAGCAGTGGTCCTAGAGGCTGGAGAACATAGCAGTGGTCCTAGAGGCTGGAGAAGATAGCAGTGGTCCTAGAGGCTGGAGAAGATAGCAGTGGTCCTAGAGGCTGGAGAACATAGTAATGCTCCTAGAAGCTGGAGAACATAGCAGTGGTCCTAGAGGCTGGAGAAGATAGCAGTGGTCCTAGAGGCTGGAGTACGTAGCGACATCTTGAGTGGCAGAAGGGTCGACATAACCCCAGTATCATGCAGCAAAGCTCAGAACAGGATCGTCGCCGATCTTGTTGTTGACATAGAGTGGGTTCTTGCAGGCCCGGACAATCACCAGTCCCAGACGAGCCACGAAGCAGAACACCGCCACGCCCAGCAGAACCACAATGAAGTAGCCGGTCTCAGTGGTTGACTCAGCATACTGCTTGATGTAGATCCCGACCAGAGCCACGATCACCACTGCAACAAACCAACTCTTGTTAGCTCTAGGAACATTTTTAGGGTGAACTTTAGTGTTGAAATCTTTGTTTGGGAACACAACAAACCAACTTTTGTTAGCTCTAGATTTGGTTAGGTTCTAGATTTGGTTAGCTCTAGATTTGGATGAGATTTGTTAGCTCTCAGAGCTCTAGATTTGGTCAACAAGTCTTGTTACCTTTGTTACCTGTTGGTGACGTGTTGAAAAGTATTTTTCCTGTAACTAAGGAATGATAAGTAAGCATCAGAATCCATTGCCTATACAGTATATAACATCTTGGGTATAATACAAATTCATATTTATGTCATTCAAACTACCGTTGAGGTGGATAGGAAGCCTGTACTTAGGCTTATGAAAGTCCCTCTAGGCCAACTATTGACCTACTTGAGAATGTAACACACACCAGTTGAGAGGCGGGACCATAGAGCCAAAGCTCAACCCCCGCAAGCACAACTAGGTGAGTACAACAGTTGCATAACTTGTGGGTACTTGTTCACTGTCACATGAACAAGTGAAAAAGGAAACGTGTCCAACCATTTCTGCCCCACCCAGGAATCGAACCGGGTTGCCTGGAGTGTGAGTGGAGGCTGTAGACCACTGCATCAGAGGCGCCATTAATAAGAGACCTTGGGTACACTTACCAGCACGGGAGACATCTCCCGTCACGCAGGGTGCACTCCCACCTCCACAGATCTCTAGTATCAGCTCTTGATATTGGTGATGGCTCAAAAGGACCACCACTTACGGGCTATTCATGCCCGTGCCACCTCTTGGGTGGCTTAATCTTCATCAATCAATCAATCAACTTACCAGCATAGGGAGTAATGGTGTAGCGAACGTAGCGGTCAAGAATGGTGTTCTCGAGGACGAACCACAGGATCATTATGCCGGAGAGGGCCCCGAGCACCACATACACCACATACTGCATGTCCAGACCGGCAGCATACCTGCAGCATACACCACAACACGGCAGATAATTATGAGGAGCAAGCATTAAGACACTATCACTGACACTTACAAGGAAAATGCCTGTTAATAAAGTGCCACTTGAACTCTTTGGAGTGAAGACGAGAGAGAGATATTTAATACTTTACGCATGTAAGATCGGGGTTTCAAACGTGCTTAATATAATTACATATTGGAGTGAGATATATGGTAATAAATGTAAAATTTATCCAATGCAAAATAGGGGTGCCACAAGCTCAGTTGAAGAGTACTGTGTGAACATGATAATGTTTATTCAGGTAAAACTACATACATTCAAAATGAGTTACAAACATAATGTTGGATCTATAGATAAGAGTTAGTACATACTATGCCTAGAGCCACTAATACGCACGTACGGCGTTTTGACCAATAAGATGTTCATGTATCTCTTTAATAAGCACCTTCCAGCAAATGTAAGAAATTTTAGAACAAAAGTCCAAACTTTAAAGAGGAAATATAACAAATTGTTGCCAGAGTTAGTTGATGAGCGTAGTGGTGGCTGCGTAGGTCTAATTTATTTATTATTTATTTATTTATTTATATATATACAAGAAGGTACATTGGGTTTGTGAGAATACATTGGATAGTACAGTATTTACATTCTTGTAAAGCCACTAGTACCCGCAGCGTTTCGGGCAGAAAACCTAATGGCCTCTTGGACAAGTAATCTGAGACCAGAAGACCTTCACGAGGGAGTAGACAAACTCCATCAGTCACCTGTAAGCTCTCATAGTGAGAGAGGGATAATTGTTTAAGGGTGTAGTGTGGAACCATAACCCATTGTTGTGACTTAGCACTGCTGAAGAGTGTAGTCAGTGGCATGACAGTCTGTCTCGAAGGCTCCACCAGTGATTGGAGACATGGTTGTAAACTAATTGGTGGGTCATATTCCAGGGTAAACTACTCAGGTAAAGTAAGATGTGTTGTGGTAAGGGGGAGCCCTAAGCCTTGTAAGAGGAGTTAGACGTTGTCTAGGAGTCATATTCCAGGGTAAACTACTCAGGTAAAGTAAGATGTGTTGTGGTAAGGGGGAGCCCTAAGCCTTGTAAGAGGAGTTAGACGTTGTCTAGGAGTCATATTCCAGGGTAAACTACTCAGGTAAAGTAAGATGTGTTGTGGTAAGGGGGAGCCCTAAGCCTTGTAAGAGGAGTTAGACGTTGTCTAGGAGTCATATTCCAGGGTAAACAAGTAGGGGTGAGCTGCGGGAAGAGAAGACTGTATAGGAGTGGGAAGTTGTGTTCTCCTGTACACAACAAGGTAAAAATACGATAAAATAGTGTGCTTATTAAAGGTTTAGAGATAAACAGTAATGGCGGTAAGAAGCCTCCTGGTTGATGGCCTAGCGACCCTGAATGACCAGGGGCCAGATTCACAAAGCTATACGCTAGTACTTACGAACGTGTACACCTTTCCTCATTCTTTGAGTTCTTTGGTTATATTTATTAAACAGTTTACAAGCATGAAAACTTCTCAATCAACTGTTGTTATTGTTATGAACAGCCTCCTGGTGCTTCGGAGCTCATTAACTGTTTAATAATTGTAAACAAATCCGCCAAAGATTAAGAAAAGATAGACAGGTTCGTAAGTGATTGCGTAACTGCTTCGTGAATCTGGCCCCAGACTCTTGGACGCTGCTTCACACAGTTCAGTGCAGTAACCACAATTGATCAGGCACCCTTGAAAGGCATTAGTCATGTTCAACACAAGACGTGTGTCAATAATCCCCCAAAATACTATTATCTGAAATAATTAACACCAGGGCCAGGATTCACAATCTGTACATCTGTCCACAATTATGGCGGCTTTGTTTACATATATTAAACAGTATGAGCTGGGAAGCACTACAAGATTGCAGTAACAATACTGCAATCCGAAAAGTTTCCAAACTCGCCAAAAGTCAATACAGCCTAAGCCAACTCGATCACAAGAAGGATGCAGAGGTTCTAGCCAATGAACGCATCAATGCTTGACAAAACCTGGCACTAATACTGACCTGAGGGCCACGCCCAGGTTGAGGAGGGCGGCGATGGTGCTCCAGGTGGTGTAGAGTGCCATGCCGTTGTGCCAGAGGACCCGGTACATCCAGAGGTCAACCTTAGCATGATGGCACATCCAGGGTCCATGGCGGTACACACTGAAACACACAGTGGTCTTAAATGTGTATAGTTTTAGTTTAGTTCATTTATTATGAACCTCGTATCCATCCTGTAGGTGGTCCAGTGGACCCCATACCCATCCTGTGAGTGGTAGTGGACCCCTGTACCCATCCTGTGAGTGGTAGTGGACCCCTATACCCATCCTGTGAGTGGTAGTGGACCCCCATACCCATGCTGTGGGTGGTAGTGGACCCCCCATACCCATCCTGTGAGTGGTAGTGAACCCCCCATACCCATCTTGTGGACCCCCATACCCATCCTGTGGATGGTAGTGGACCCCCATACCCATCCTGTAAGTGGTAGTGGACCCCCATACCCATCTTGTGGGTGGTAGTGGACCCCTATACCCATCCTGTGAGTGGTAGTGGACCCCTATACCCATCCTGTGAGTGGTAGTGGACCCCCATACCCATCCTGTGGGTGGTAGTGGACCCCCCATACCCATCCTGTGAGTGGTAGTGGACCCCCCATACCCATCCTGTAAGTGGTAGTGGACCCCCCCCATACCCATCCTGTAAGTGGTAGTGGACCCCCATACCCATCCTGAGAGTGGTAGTGGACCCCCCATACCCATCCTGAGAGTGGTAGTGGACCCCCATACCCATCCTGAGAGTGGTAGTGGACCCCCATACCCATCCTGAGAGTGGTAGTGGACCCCCATACCCATCCTGTAAGTGGTAGTGGACCCCCATACCCATCCTGAGAGTGGTAGTGGACCCCCATACCCATCCTGAGAGTGGTAGTGGACCCCCCATACCCATCCTGTAAGTGGTAGTGGACCCCCATACCCATCCTGAGAGTGGTAGTGGACCCCCCATACCCATCCTGTAAGTGGTAGTGGACCCCCATACCCATCCTGAGAGTGGTAGTGGACCCCCATACCCATCCTGAGAGTGGTAGTGGACCCCCATACCCATCCTGTGAGTGGTAGTGGACCCCCATACCCATCCTGAGAGTGGTAGTGTCCTGACCAACCATCAAAATACCTGTAGTGTAGCATGCCAAAAGCCATCCAGTTGGTGAGGACGATGAACCACAGCAGGGCGGAGGCGAACACGATGAGCTCATTGTCCCAGACGAAGAGCCAGGCCACGTTGGCCATCAGGTTGAAGGTGTAGGTGAGCAGGAAGGAGGAGGTGAGCACCGAGGGACTGGTGTACACGGGGCCCACAGCGTTCCTTCGACACATCAGGATCAAGGCTGTAGAGGAGGAATTGTGTTATCATTGTTGAAGTGCACCAGCATCGAGGGCGGCAACGGGTCAACCTCTGGAGGGTTATTAAGACCACCACAACACCTTACTGACCAACCAGCGAGTATACTTTAGTCCTATCAACCTCTGGAGGGTTATTAAGACCACCACAACACCTTACTGACCAACCAGCAAGTAGACTTCAGTCCTATCAACCTCTGTAGGGTTATTAAGACCACCACAACACCTTACTGACCAACCAGCAAGTATACTTTAGTCCTATCAACCTCTGGAGGGTTATTAAGACCACCACAACACCTTACTGACCAACCAGCAAGTATACTTTAGTCCTATCAACCTCTGGAGGGTTATTAAGACCACCACAACACCTTACTGACCAACCAGCAAGTATACTTTAGTCCTATCAACCCCTGGAGGGTTATTAAGACCACCACAACACCTTACTGACCAACCAGCAAGTATACTTTAGTCCTATCAACCTCTGGAGGGTTATTAAGGCCACCACAACACCTTACTGACCAACCAGCGAGTATACTTTAGTCCTATCAACCTCTGGAGGGTTATTAAGACCTCCACAACACCTTACTGACCAACCAGCAAGTATACTTTAGTCCTATCAACCTCTGGAGGGTTATTAAGACCACCACAACACCTTACTGACCCACCAGCAAGTATACTTTAGTCCTATCAACCTCTGGAGGGTTATTAAGACCACCACAACACCTTACTGACCAACCAGCAAGTATACTTTAGTCCTATCAACCTCTGGAGGGTTATTAAGACCACCACAACACCTTACTGACCAACCAGCAAGTATACTTTAGTCCTATCAACCTCTGGAGGGTTATTAAGACCACCACAACACCTTACTGACCAACCAGCAAGTATACTTTAGTCCTATCAACCTCTGGAGGGTTATTAAGACCACCACAACACCTTACTGACCAACCAGCGAGTATACTTTAGTCCTATCAACCTCTGGAGGGTTATTAAGACCACCACAACACCTTACTGACCAACCAGCAAGTATACTTTAGTCCTATCAACCTCTGGAGGGTTATTAAGACCACCACAACACCTTACTGACCAACCAGCAAGTATACTTTAGTCCTATCAACCTCTGGAGGGTTATTAAGACCACCACAACACCTTACTGACCAACCAGCAAGTATACTTTAGTCCTATCAACCTCTGGAGGATTATTAAGAGATGAATAATACACTTACCATAGAGATGAGCCAGCAGGAGCCAGATATAGATCACCGACCAGATCATGAAGGTGAAGCCGGCTGGGGTGACATCGATCTCGTACTTCGCAGACAAGTTGCCAACCGTCGACTCGAAGAACCCTGGAACACATCCAATTGTCAACATCTACAGCCATTATATCGCTATATCATATCCAAAACGTCGTATCAACGCCGAAATGACGTCTAGTAACGTCATATCAACGTCAACAACGACATATTATCACAAGGTGATAAATATGTAAATACAATGTTGATACCATGAGATAGGATCGAACCTGCGGCTCTGGGCATTTAGGCACACTCTCTGCCGACTACACAGTGATGGGTCGAGGTTGTGCTCAGCTCATGTTGGGTCCCTGATGAGTCCCTGGTGAGTCCAGGGACGCAAGTTCGAGCCCAAGCAAGACCCGCAATATTTCTAAAGTTACATATATTTGATCAGATAAAACAACAGTCCACGTCTCTTGTTGCCATAGTCCACGTCTCTTGTTGCCATAGTCCACGTCTCTTGTTGCCATAGTCCACGTCTCATGTTGCCATAGTCCACGTCTCATGTTGCCATAGTCCACGTCTCTTGTTGTCATAGTCCACGTCTCTTGTTGCCATAATTCATGTCTCTTGTTGCCATAGTCCACGTCTCATGTTGTCATAGTCCATGTCTCTTGTTGCCATAGTCCATGTCTCTTGTTGCCATAGTCCATGTCTCTTGTTGCTATACTCCATGTCACATGTTGCCATAGTCTATGTCTCTTGTTGCCATAGTCCATGTCTCTTGTTGCCATAGTCCACGTCTCTTGTTGCCATAGTCCATGTCTCTTGTTGTCATAGTCCACGTCTCTTGTTGCCATAGTCTATGTCTCTTGTTGTCATAGTCCTTGTCTCTTGTTGCCATAGTCTATGTCTCTTGTTGTCATAGTCCTTGTCTCTTGTTGCCATAGTCCATGTCTCTTGTTGCCATAGTCCACGTCTCTTGTTGCCATAGTCCACGTCTCTTGTTGTCATAGTCCATGTCTCTTGTTGCCATAGTCTATGTCTCTTGTTGTCATAGTCCTTGTCTCTTGTTGCCATAGTCTATGTCTCTTGTTGTCATAGTCCTTGTCTCTTGTTGCCATAGTCCATGTCTCTTGTTGCCATAGTCCACGTCTCTTGTTGCCATAGTCCATGTCTCTTGTTGCCATAGTCCACGTCTCTTGTTGCCATAGTCTATGTCTCTTGTTATCATAGTCCATGTCTCTTGTTGCCATAGTCCATGTCTCTTGTTGCTATACTCCATGTCACATGTTGCCATAGTCCACGTCTCTTGTTGCCATAGTCCGTGTCTCTTGTTGTCATAGTCCTTTTCTCTTGTTGCCATAGTATATGTCTCTTGTTGTCATAGTCCATGTCTCTTGTTGCCATAGTCTATGTCTCTTGTTGCCATAGTCCATGTCACATGTTGCCATAGTCTATGTCTCTTGTTGCTATAGTCTGTCTCTTGTTGCCATAGTCCATGTCTCTTGTTGCCATAGTCCATGTCTCTTGTTGCCATAGTCCACGTCTCTTGTTGCCATAGTCCATGTCTCTTGTTGTCATAGTCCACGTCTCTTGTTGCCATAGTCCATGTCACATGTTGCCATAGTCTATGTCTCTTGTTGTCATAGTCCATGTCTCTTGTTGCCATAGTCTATGTCTCTTGTTGCCATAGTCCATGTCTCTTGTTGTCATAGTCCATGTCTCTTGTTGCCATAGTCCACGTCTCTTGTTGCCATAGTCCATGCCTCTTGTTGTCATAGTCCATGTCTCTTGTTGCCATAGTCCACGTCTCTTGTTGCCATAGTCCATGCCTCTTGTTGTCATAGTCCATGTCTCTTGTTGCCATAGTCCATGTCTCTTGTTGTCATAGTCCATTTCTCTTGTTGTCATAGTCCATGTCTCTTGTTGTCATAGTCCATGTCTCTTGTTGCCATAGTCCACGACTCTTGTTGCCATAGTCCAGGTCTCTTGTTGCCATAGTCTATGTCTCTTGTTGCCATAGTCCATGTCTCTTGTCTATGTCAGTAGTCACAGTATACAGTGTCCACAGTGTACCATGGTCACAGTGTACCATGGTCACAGTGTACCATGGTCACAGTGTACCATGGCCACAGTGTACCATGGTCACAGTGTACCATGGCCACAGTGTACCATGGTCACAGTGTACCATGGCCACAGTGTACCATGGTCACAGTGTACCATGGTCACAGTGTACCAGAACCACAGTGTACCATGGTCACAGTGTACCATGGTCACAGTGTACCATGGTCACAGTGTACCAGAACCATAGTGTACCATGGTCACAGTGTACCATGGTCATAGTGTACCAGAACCACAGTTTACCATGGTCACAGTGTACCAGAACCACAGTGTACCATGGTTACAGTGTACCGGGGCCACAGTGTCCCGTAGCTACAATGTACTGGAGCCACAGTAAACCATAGCCACAGTGTACCGAGACAACAGTGTACCATGGCGACAGTGTACCGGGGTCACAGTGTACGGAGACCACAGTGTACCGAAGCCTTAGTGTACTATGGCCACAGTGTACCGAGGCCACAGTGTACCATGGCGACAGTGTACCGGGGTCACAGTGTACCGATGCCACAGTGTACAGTGGTCACAGTGCACCATGGCGACAGTGTACCGGGGTCACAGTGTACCGGGGCCAAAGTGTACTGTGGCCACAGTTTACCGTGGCCACAGTGTACTGGGGGAACAGTGTACCGTAGCCACAGTGTACCGGGGCCACACTGTACCATAGCCACAGTGTACCGGGACCACAGTGTACTTCGGCCACAATGTACCGAGGCCACAGTGTACCATGGCCACAGTGTACCGGGGGCCACAGTGTACCAGGGGCCACAGTGTACCAGGGGCCATAGTGTAACTGGGACAACATTGTATCGGGGCCACAGTGCACCGGGACCACAGTGTATCAGGGGCCATAGTGTACCGGGGCCAGAGTGTACCATGGCAACAGTGAACCGTTGGCCACAGTGAACCATGGCCACAGTGTACCAGAGCCACAGTGTACCATGGCCACAGTGTACCATGGTCACAGTGTACCATTGTTACAGTGTACCGGGGCCACAGTTTACCGGGACCAGTGTACCGTGGCCACAGTGTACCATGGCCACAGTGTACCATTGTTACAGTGTACCGGGGCCACAGTGTACCGTGGCCACAGTGTAACATTGATACAGTGTACGGGGGCCACAGTGTACCAGGACCACAGTGTACCGTGGCCACAGTGTACCGGGGTCACAGTGTACCGTGGCCACTGTGTACCGGGGCCACAGTGTACCATTGTTACAGTGTACCATGGCCACAGTGTACTGTGGCCACAGTGTACTGTGGCCACAGTGTACTATTGCCACAATGTACCGGGGCCTCGGCGTACCGTGGCCACAGTGTATGTGGTTACAGTGTACTGTGGAGACAATTTATCGTGGCCGCAGTGTACCGGGGGGCCACAGTGTACCATAGTCATAGTGTACCGTGGCCACAGCATACAGGGGCCACAGTGAACAGGGCCAGAGTGTACAATGGCCACATTTTACTGGGGTCACAGTGTACCGCGACCACTGTGAACTGGGGCCATAGTGTACCATGATTACTGTGTACCAAGGCCTCAGTGTACTATGGCCAAAATGTACCGGGGCTACAGTGTCCCGTGGCTACAATGTACCGGAGCCACAGTAAACCATGGCCACAGTGTACCGAGGCCACAGTGTACCATGGCGACAGTGTACCGGGCTCACAGTGTACCGATGCCACAGTGTACAGTGTTCACAGTGTTCCATGGCGACAGTGTACCATAGCCACAGTGTACCGGGGCCACAGTGTACCATGGCCACAGTGTACCGGGACCACAGTGTACTACGGCCACAATGTACCGAAGCCACAGTGTACCATGGCCACAGTGTGCCATAGCCACAGTGTGCCATAGCCACAGTGTACCGGGGGCCATAGTGTACCAGGGGCCACAGTGTACCGTGGCCACAGTGTAACTGGGACAACATTGTATTGGGACCACAGTGCACCGGGACAACAGTATATCAGGGGGCCACAGTGTACCGAGGCCACAGTGTACCATGGCCACAGTGTACCGAGTCACAGTGTCCCATGGCCACAGTGTGCCGAGCCACAGTGTACCGAATCCCAGTGTACCATGGCCACAGTGTACCGAGTCACAGTGTCCCATGGCCACAGTGTGCCGAGCCACAGTGTACCGAGTCACAGTGTACCGAGGCCAGAGTGTACCATAGCCACAGTGTCCCATAGCCACAGTGTACCAGAGCCACAGTGTACCGAAGCCAGTGTACTGAGGCCACAGTGTACCGAGTCACAGTGTACCATGACCGCAGTGTACCGAGGCCACAGTGTATGATGGCCACAGTGTACCGAGCCACAGTGTACCGAGGCCACAGTGAATGATGGCTACAGTGTACCGAGCCACAGTGTATCATGGCCACAGTGTACCGAGTCACAGTGTACGGAATCACAGAGTACCGAGTCACAGTGTATCGAGTCAGTGTACCGACCCACAGTGTACCATGGACACAGTGTACCGGGACCACAGTGTACTACGGCCACAATGTACCGAAGCCACAGTGTACCATGGCCACAGTGTGCCATAGCCACAGTGTACCGGGGGCCATAGTGTACCAGGGGCCACAGTGTACCGTGGCCACAGTGTAACTGGGACAACATTGTATTGGGGCCACAGTGTACCGGGGCCAGAGTGTACCGGGGCCACAGTGTACAGAGAAACAGTGTACCGAGCCACAGTGTACCGGGGACATAGTGTACCGAGCCACAGTGTACCGAGGCAAAGTGTACCGGGTCCACAGTGTACCGAGCCACAGTGTACCGAGCCAAAGTGTACCCTGGCCACAGTGTACTGAGCCATAGTGTACCGAGCTACAGTGTACCGGGGCATCAGTGTACCGGGGCGACAGTGTACTGAGCCACTGTGTACCGAGCTACAGTGTACCGGGGTCTCAGTGTACCATGACCACAGTGTACCAGAGCCACAGTGTACCGAGCCACAGTGTACCGGGACCACAGTGTACCGAGCCACA